GAAGCTGGGGGAAAGACAGAAGGAGGAGTTACTGTTTAATGAGTATAGAGTTTCGATTTCACAAGATGAAAAGAGTTCTGGAGCTAGATGGTGGTGATGGTAGTTGACACAACATTATGAAAATATTCAATACCACTGAACTGCACATTTAAAAATGGTCAAAATAGTAAATTTTACGTTGAGTGTATTTTACAATGTAAAACATTGGGAAAAAAGATGAAAACAATGGGCAGTTCTTAGGCATTAACAATTAGTACACATCTAGTCATATCATTTTATTCTAATTCACTATTAAAATGGATTAAAAGCAAAACTGATTTTCAAAGATGTATATAAGTAAAAATAAAGAAAATTATATATATGCACATTAAATTTAGAAATATTTTTAAAGGTTTGTCAGATCACTTTCTGCAAGGTTATAATACACTCCCATGTGATACAAAATTTTGTTTATTCTTGTTTTTTTTTAAACTTTTCCATAATTCCACCTTCTATGAGTTACTGAATCATTTTTCCTACCCTTACTGGTAAGAACACAAAAATAGCTGTTTCATAAAAATGAATCCATTATTTCAAATTTGAAAGCCACATTTACTTTTCCTTTAAAACTATATGAACTACTTTCAGATCTTTTATCTGTGCCAACCAGCTTCTGTTGCTTACCTTCTCACAAAAGTTCCTGAGTCTCACATTACTTTACATTCATTATGTCTATTAGCCTGTATTTGCATAGAAGTCACTACATAAAGTATATGAGAATTACATAACAAAGTTCACCTAAACCCAATTTCCTTCACACTTCCTGAAAAATTAGGTTATGAGAATTCACTGCTATGTCTCTGCTGCCCTCTGTAGGTATGGTGTCTTAGTCCATTTTGCTTTGCTATAACAGAATACCATAGGGTAGGTAACTTACAGAGAAAAGAAATTTATTTCTCTCAGTTATGGAGGCTGAAAATTCCAATATTAAGGTGCTGGCTCCTGGTAAGGACCTTTGTCCTACACCTTCCCATGGCAGAAAGCAGAAAGACAAGTGAGGGTGAGAGCGAGGGACAGAAAATTTTTATAACAACACGTCCTTGTGGTAACAAACCCACTACTGTGATAATGATATTAATCTATTCATGAGGGCAAGGCCCTCATGGCCTAATCCTAATACAGGAACCATTAAGAGGTTCTTTTAACACATACCATTCTTTTAATATATACCATTCTTACATTGGTATAAAGATATGCCTGAGACTGGGTAATTTATAAAAGACGAGGTTTAACTGTCTCAGTTCTGCAGGCTGTACAGGAAGCATGGTGGCATATGCTTCTGGGGACGCCTCAGGGAGCTTTCACTCATGGTGGAAGGCAAAGTGGGTGCAGGCACTTCACATGGTGAAAGCAGTGAGAGGAGGGAGCAGACACTTCACACGGTGAAAGCAAGAGAGCAAAGCGGGCAGTGCTACACATTTTTATGTATTTATGTATTTATTTTTTTAATAGAGACAGGGTCTTGCTATGTTGGCCAGGTCGGTCTCAAACTCCTGGGCTCAACTGATCCTCCCATCTTGGCCTCCCAAAGTGCTGGGATTATAGGCAGGAATCACGGTGCCAGGCTGCTACACACTTTTAAATTATCAGCTCTCACAAGAACTCACTCACTATTGTGAGGACAGTACCAAGGGGGATGGTGCTAAACCATTCATGAGAAATGCACTTCCATGATCCAGTCACCTTCCACCAGGCCCCATTTCCAACAATGGAAATTACAATTCAACATGAGATTTGGTTCGGGACACAGACCCAAACTGTATTAGTCCCATATTTTAATATTGTCACCATGATAATTAAATTTCAACAAGAGTTTTGGAGAGGACATTCAAACCACAGCAAATGGTTCTTGAAGACACCAATAAAATAAATTATAAAACCCCAGCCAATAATATCAAAGTACTATCAAGTTAATATGGAAAGTCATATCAGTAATCAAATACATCTGTTAAATGTCCTAAAAGAAAATACTGCAGGCCAGGCGCGGTGGCTCACACCTGTAATCTCAGCACTTTGGGAGGCCAAACTCTTGTACACTGTTGGTGGGAATGTAAATTAACACAGCTATTATGGAGAATAGCATGAAGGTCTCTCAAAAAACGAAAAAATAGAACTACTATATAATCTAGCAATCTCACTTCTGGGCCAAAGGATTGAAATCAGTATGCTAAAAAAAAATCTGCATTCCCATGTTAATTGCAGTGCTATTCACAATAGCTAAGATTTGGAAACAATCTAGGTGTCTAGATGAATGCATTAAAAAAATGTTGTATATCTACACAATGTAATACTATCCAGTCTTAATAAAGAAGGAAATTCTATCATTTGCGACATGAATGGACCTGGAGGACATTACGTTAACTCAGATAAGCCAGGCACACAAAGACAAATACAGCATGATCTTACTTACATGGGGAATCTAAAAAAGTAGAACTTACAGAATCGGGGTAGAATGTTGGTTACCAGAGGCTGGGAGAGAAAAGTGGATGGAGAAAGGGAAGATGTCGATTAAAGGATACAAAATTTCATTTAGACAGAAGGAATATGCTTTAGTAATCTAATACACAGAATGATGACTATAATAACAGTGCGTTGCATTTTACAATTTTTAAAAATGTATAGGCATGCAAAAAAGCAGAATACAACCCATAAGGAGGCGAAATAGACACAGAAATGACACAGATAGATTTACCAAAATAGCCATTAAAAAGTTATTATAAATATACTCTATGTTCAAAATATAGAATGTATGACATGTTAAGGAAAGGCATGGACAATATAAAAAGACTCATATCAAACTTCTAGAAATGAAAACTACAATGTCAGAGATGACCAACACACTTATAGTATTACCTGCAGAATATACTGAAGAATTTTTAAAAAGTTATTAAAAAAAAGAATTAAAAAAAAACTTGAAGATGTAGCAATAGAAACCACCCAAAATGAAATGAAGGGGACAAAACAATGAGCAAAAATGAGACATGACACATTAGGCAGCCTAATTAATATACATGTAATTGGAGTCACAGGAGGAAATGAAAAGGGGAGTCAGAAAAAAAATTTATTGAGAAGTAAAAGCCAAAAACTTACCAAATGTGATGAAAACTACAAACTCACATACATGCAGAAAAGAGTTAACACAGTTGGCCTGAAGTAGCTATCCTTAGAAAACCCTGCTTGCAAAGCTGGTCCTTGCCTAGCTTCTGAAAAGAGATTTCAGGAGAATCTTCATCATTCCATAAATGATAAATAATGGTGGGTCACTGTGCCTAAACTGTGCAAACAATATGGTTTATACTGAATACCCATTTTCTTTCTGAAGTCTGGAATTTGGGTAGATTCTAGGGAGAGGGTGCCTATGTTACCAGTCCCTAATAAAAACCCTGAGTCTCTAATGAGTTCCCTAGTACATAACACTTCACACATGTCATCTAAACATTTTGCTGAAAGAATTAAGCATATACTGTGTGACTCCACTGGGAGAGGACTCGTGGAAGACTGCTGATTTAAATTTGCATTCTTTTGGCCAGGCATGGTGGCAGACACGTGCAATTCCAGCACTCTGGGAGACCAAGGTGGATGGATCCCTTGAACACAAGGGTTCGAGACCAGCCTGGGGAAGATGGCAAACCACATTATACCAAAAATACAAAAATCAGCCAGACGTGGCGGCACATGCCTGTAGGACCAGCTACTCTGGAGGCTGAGGTGAGAGGATCACTTGAGCCCAGGAGATCAAGGCTGCAGTGAGCTATGAGCACACCATTGCACTCTAGCCTGGGTGACACAGCAAGACCCTTTTCTACACCCTTTTTTTCACCCTATTTTTGTATCCTTTCAGCGTAATAAATGATGGCCATGAGTATGACTATATGCTAAGTCCTGTGTATCCTCCTAGTCAACTGCTGAACCTGGAGGTGGTCTTGGGGAACCCCCAAAACACCACAGATTCAAAAGGCTTGACAAACACCAACTGAAAAATCATACCAAGGCATATCACAATCAAACTGCTTAAAACCAGTAATGAAGAGAAAAATCTTAAAAGGTCAAGAATGAGAATAGCTTCAAGGTTACTGACAGCAACTTGAGCTAAGATAATGAAGCAATGCCTTCAAAACTTTGAAGGAAAATTATTTCCAACCTAAAAATTCTATACAAATTTTCAATCACACATCAAAATATGACAAAAGCATCTTCTGACATACCAAATAATTCCTCAGGAAGTTACGGTAAGATGTGTTCAACCAAAACAGGGTGAAAACCAAGAAAGAGGAAAACATGAAATCCTGGATAAAGGAGCACAATACAGGACAGAGGTCAATAAATTCCCAGAATGATAGCAAAGTCCAGGTGACAATGTTCACGAAAGGAGAGAGGACGCTGAGTTCAAACTGGAGCAGCTAGGAGGTTGTGGGAAAGAGTTCTCCAAAAATATGAAACTCACAGAATGCCTGCTGTCTGAAAATCTTAACAAGAGAGCTAGGCAATGATGAAAAAGTATTTTTTTCCATCAATAAGTAAAACTAGATGAACAAAAACCAAAATAATTATTAAGTCTAGGGAAAGCAAATAGTTGCAAAGGATAATATTTCCCTTGGCTATCAATATTACTTATTCACAATTGTGTAAAATGCTGAATATAATCTAACCAAACTTTGATATATTTGCACTGGGAGAACAGTAGGATAAAAAAAGTTCAGCGTGCAGTGAGGGTGGGAAGTGAGCGAGAAGAGAGATCAATATTTATCCATGTTGAGAAGTACAGCACAAGCATGTTATTTAGAGATAAGTGAGTAAAGAAGAAAAGAATCCCCTAAGAGTCAAAAGTGGTTGTTCTTGAGGAAGGACAGAAACACACACACACACACACACACACACACACACACACACACACACACAAAACAACTATGATTAGCAGATGTTATACAGAGACTAAAAGTTTTGAAATAATTCATTCTTACCTTGGGAAGCTCCAATAGCTTCTCATCACTTGTCAAAGACTGATTACTTGCACAAGAAGCACAGTCTGAGATTTCCACAGCACCCTCGTCATCTTCAAATTCATTACAGTCACTAGCCTCTGCCCTGTCACTGTCGATCTCCCAGTCAATAAACTGTAAGTCACCTAAAAAATACAATTTTTAACTTGCTTAATTATCTCCTTAATCTTTCACTTTTAAATCTCCTTTATTCTTAGTAGTTATCCATGTCACTTAGTAATTTTAAAAAACTTATCTAGGGCCAGGCACAATGGCTCATGCCTATAATCCTAGAGCTCTGGGAGGCCAGGGTGGGCAGAATGCCAAAACTCAGGAGTTCAAGACCAGCCTGGTCAACAAGATGAAATGCTGTCTCTATTAAAAATACAAAAAATTAGCTGGACATGGCAGCGCACATCTATAGTCCCAGCTACTCAGGTGGCTGAGGCACCAGAATCGCTTGAACCCGGGAAGTGGAGATTGCAGTGAGCCGAGATCGTGCCACTCAACTCCAGCCAGGGCAACAGAACGAGACTCTGTCTCAAAAAAAAAAAAAAAAAAAAAAAAAAATTTTTAGACAGTGAAAAGTATATTTCTACTCTCATCTCAAATCACTGTTTCTCCCAAATCTTACTCCAACTCCAATTTTAAGTTAACTACTTTTATTTTCTGTATCCTTGTAGAGTTTCTCCAGCATGTTTAAGCAAATAAACTATGTATTATTTTTTCCTCCTTTCTTACACGGCTGGACTTTTTCACTAAACATAATTAAGAGGATATAGTAGGATTGCTTGAGCCCAGGAGTTTGAAGTTACAGTGAACTATGATCCACTGCACTCCAGCCTCAGTGACAGAGCAAGACCTCATCTCTTAAAAAAAACAGCCACTATAATGACTTTAACAGACTGAAGGTCCAGCCACCACTGAGAGAAGCAGACGCATAATGGCAACTGCTTCCCACATAAACATCAAATTCAGTCATGGAAGCCAGGCAGGAGAACACATTAGAGATTTTCCAGGCTGCTGAACCTTCCCAACAGGAAGCCAGGGACAGACAAGGGAAAAACACAAATGCCCTCAGAGCTGCCACCAGTATCACACATCTTTGCAGTACTCATTCATTCATTTACTCCTTCATTCATTAGACAAAGCAAGTGCCTAAAAAGAGCTCATCACACCATTCAAGATACTCACAATACGAAATAAATACAAGAGAGAAAACAGCACCATTCCTAGCCTGAAGTAGCCCACAGATTAATACATATTGCAATGTGATGCATGCTATGAAATAACTGGCGCTTTCATCACAAAACTTTTGTGGTCACAAAACTTTTAAAAAACAGGAAGACTGCTACTATTACACTTAAATTTGCATTTTACAGATGAGGAAATTGGATCTCCAATAATTTAAGAGATTTTCCAAAAGTTATAAAAACTTTTAGACAATTGGTAAAAACCAAATGGAAGGGACGCTGGGCACGATGGCTCACATGTGTAATCCCAGCACTTTGGGAGGCACAAACCATACTATTTACCCATAAAAAGCATAAACTTTGTATTCTGAAATGTATGAAGACAAACCAAGAGTTATGTAACAATAAATTTCATTTACTATGGTCGAATTGCTATCAGCTTATATATAATCCTAAAATACCATTTCACCTGGTAACTACTAAAATGTCAATGGAATTAATAGTTACCAAAATGACATACAAAGTGGTCAAAAGAATTTAACTACCCTCCTGAGAAGCTGTCTCTGTACAAACCTAACCCTAGGTAACTAACATGAACTGTCAAGAGTTAAAAGTCACAAGCTTATTTTGAAAACATTAAGACATTTAAATATTCTACAGATTATTTGTATATTTTAAAAATTCTAAAAGGACATGATTTCTATAATTCTACATCTGTGGTTATCAACTAGGGGTAATTTTTGTCCTTCAGGGGACCCTTGACAACATCTGGAGACATCTTTGGTTATCATCACTGTGGTTGGGATCCTACTGTGACCCAGCAGGTAAAGGCAAGGGACACGGCAGAATAACCTATAGGCAGAAGAAGGTGCTACTCCCCATAACAAAGAATCATCTGGCCCAAAATGTCAAGAGTGTCAAGGATAAGAAACTCTGCTTTCAATTGTCTAAAACATGACACAATATAAAACACCATCTGAATAGAAATTTGTCAGTATGTTACACCTCTACCACACACTGGTTGTCACAGTATTTACCCAACAGGTTGGGAAGAAGGCAGTGTGGGCGTGGCACTGTGTAGAAGGTGAAATAACTGGCTATGGAGCAAAGAGACCTAAAATGGAATCCCAATCCATTCCATCAGTCCAAGCTTAAGTTGTTAACTATAAAAATAATATCTATAATACCTATCTCCTAGAGTTGTTTTGAGAAATATTAAACAAGAAAATGTTTCTGAAGTGTTTAGCATAGAGGGTGGGACTCAGTAAAATCCTAACTATTAGAAAGGAATCTAATTTTCATTCTCTGGGACAAATGCCTGAAGGTGCAGTTGCTGGGCTATATGGTAATTGCATGCTTAGTCTTTAAGAAACTGCCAGACTCTTTTCCAGAGTGGTTGTACCATTTTACTGTACACCTGCAATGTACTGGTGATCCAGTTTCTCCACAACCTCACCAGCATTTGGTATTGTCACTATTTTTTATTGTAGCCATTCTGATAGATGGAATGTTAATGATAAATACTAGAAAGGAATGTAAGTTTCTTCCAATATTAAATCCAATATTTAACAGAAACTGGATTTCTAACAAAATTATCAATTTACCTTCACTAGTCCCATCTTCTGGACACACAATGTTCCTGTTACAAAATCTGTCTATTCTAGAGCAATGTCCATTATCTCTCTGTAATTGAGAAAGTGTCTTATCTTCATCCGAAAAATCACTTCCACTGGAACTCCATGTTATATCTGTAAGCCCACTGGTGCTTTTAAATGTGGTAGTTTCTGTTTAAGAAAAAGAAAGCACATAAATATCATCTCCTTATATGGTCATTTATCAGAATACAATTTTATGCGTGTAATTTTGCCAAAGTCACGAATACACAAAACTCTGTGATAAGAAAAGCAATGTCTACGTCAAATCTTTCTACCTAAAGTTCTATGCACAATCTCACTAACATTCTCTGAGTTCGAAGCCAAGTTCCAAGAAGAAAAAGTAGAACTGGTTAAGTTATACAAAAAAAGGAAAGTGACTAGAGCACAAAAGAAAACCAGAAAAATAAGACCTGAAATAACATTTTATAAAAGTATAACTTCCTGGGGTATTTGATGAAAACAAAAAATTTTTTAAAATGCAAAACACAAAGTCAAAACTTATGAGTAACAGGAATGCTTCTGTGTGCTTCCTTTGCCGTGCTAAGAGCTCTGGGAGCAGGGTGCTTAAAACACTTAAGACCAAACATTGTATTTAATTACACTTTTTATTTTGAGATAATATTAGATTTATATACAGTTATAAGAAACAACAGAGAAAAACTCTTGTATCCATCACCCAGTCCCTCCAATGGTAACATCTTGCAAAACTGTAGTACAACACAACCAGGATACTGACACTCATCCAGTCAAGATACAGATCAATTCTATCACCACAGGATGCCTTGCATTACCTTTTTATAGCTATACCATCTCCTGGCCCCATACCAATCCCTGAACTCTGTCAACCACTACTCAGTTTTGCATTTCTGTAATTCTGTCATTATAAAAATGTTATATAATCGAGACCAGCCTGGCCAACATGGTGAAACCCCATCTCTACTAAAAACACAAAAAATTAGCTGGGCATGGTTGCAGGTACCTATAATCTCAGCTACTTGGGGAGGCTGAGGCAGGAGAATTGCTTGAACCCAGGAGGCAGAGGTTGCAGTGAGCCAAGATTGAGCCACTGCACTCCAGCCTGGGCAACAAGAGCGAAACTCCATCTCTTTCCCTTTCTCTCTCCTCTCTCTCTCTCTCTCTCTCTCTCTCTCACACACACACACACACACACACACACACACACACCCACCTACACACACACACACACAGGTTATATAAATAAAATCACTAAGTAACCTTTTAGGATTGACTTTTTTCACTCAGAATAATTTCTTAGATATTCATCTAAGTTATCAACATTTATTTTCTTTTTATTACTGAATAGTACACCATGATACTATGCACCATAGTTTGTTTAATCATTCACCTACTGAAGGACATCTGCGTTGTTTCTAGTTTGGGGCTATTATGAACAAAGCTGCTTATAAACATCTGTGTACAAGATGCTATGTAAATTTAATTTTCATTCTCTGGGACAAATGCCTAAGTATGCAGCTGCTGGGTTATATGGTAATTGCATGTTTAGTCTTTAAGAAATCACCAGACTGCTCTCCAGAGTGGCTGTACCATTTTACTGTACACCTGCAATGTACTGGTGATCCAGTCTCTCCACAACCTCACCAGCATTTGGTATTGCCACTATTTTTTATTATAGCCATTCTAATAGGTGGAAAATGTAGCCAGAATGGGGCTATTTCATCTTGGTAGAATCAAAAGTCAACAGAAAACTTTTCTGATATTGGTCAGAAAAGGAATATATACCTAATAAAAATCAATTATTCTGTTTATATTCATAATTATAAATATAATGCTAAAACATATATATGCACATATATACATACATATCTTATCTTACGTGGTATATCTGATATATTTCAAAGCGCATTTCAATACACTATGAAATGAAGAGATTAGATATTTATAAAATTCATGTTTTACAAAAAATAAACCTAGGCTTCATCAGATACATATTTACAGTACCCCTCTGATACAGTAAACCATGAGGAAACAAAAAAACCTCCAGCCTAGGCAACACAGTGAGACCCAATCTCTACAAAAAATTAAAAAATTAGCTGAGCATAGTGGTGCATGCCTGTAGTCCCAGCTACTTGGAAGTCTGAAGCAGGAGGACGAGTTTAAGAGCAAATGTTTGAGGCTGCAGTGAGCTATGACTGCACCACGGCACTCCATCCTGAGTGACAGAATAAGATCCCATCTCTAAAAAAGAAAAGAAAAGAAAAGAAAAAAGAAAAGAAAAGAAAAAAAAGAAAAGAGAAAACTCCTTCCCACAAGGAACATGTGTGGTCTGGAAGGAAACACTAATCATGAAAAAAACTAACACTATACCAGACGTATGTCATGGAATAGTGGTGGCACAAAAAAACTGAATGTTCCACTTTGCGCTGATCAGAAAAAGAGGATTCACTAACACGATGATGTCTGAAAAAACAGTATTTACAAAGGCAAAATGCATGGAATAGTCAACATTTACTGAACACTTACTACTTTGTCCCACGAACATCTAGAATTACTGAAGTGGCCTATTGTTCATGTTATAAAAGGAAAAATAAACTATTCAGAACATCCTAAGAATCTATATCTATCTAAAAAGCTAATAAACTGGGTACTTGCAAGAGACATTATCGATCTCTATCATTATTGTGCATTTGAAAAATAAGTCAAGAAGCAAGTTATCGGCCGGGAGCAGTGGCTCACGCTTGTAATCCCAGACTTTGGGAAGCCGAGGCGGGTGGATCACCAGGTCAGAAGCTCAACACCAGGCTGGCCAAGATGGTGAAATCCCATCTCTACTAAAAATACAAAAAATTAGCCAGGTGTGGTTGTGGGGGCCTGTAATCCCAGCTACTCCAGAGACTGAGGCAGACAACTGCTTGAACCCAGGAGGTGGAGGTCGCAGTGAACAGAGATCGCGCCACTGCACTCTAGCCTGGGTGACAGAGTGAGACACCATCTCAAAAAAAAAAAAAAAAGAAAAGAAAAGGAAGTTATCGCTATTTGCAAATTATAAAATGAATTCATAGAAAAGTCAAGAAACCAACTGAAAAATTACTACCATTAATAAGAAAGTCCAATAAAGGTGGGAAGGTACAAACTACAATACGAAATCAAATTTAAAGCAGTAGAAAAAACAATAAAATACCTACAAGAAACTTAAGTGTCGCGGGAAGTCAGAGACCCCAAATGGAGGGACCAGCTGGAACCATGGCAGGGGAACATAAATTGTGAAGATATCATTTTAATATGGACATATATCAGTTCCCAAAATTAATACTTTTACAATTTCTGTACTTCAATCTCTGAACATAAATTGTGAAGATTTCATTCTAATATAGACATTTATCACTTCCCAAATAATACTTTTATAATTTCTTATGCCTGTCTTTAATCTCTCAATCCTGTTATCTTCGTGAGAATGTACCTCACCTCAGGACCACTATTGTGTTAAACTGTACAAATTGATTGTAAAACACATGTGCTTGAACAGTATGAAATCAGTGCACTTTGAAAAAAAAAAGAACAGCAATTTTCAGGGAACAAGGGAAGACAACCATAAGGTCTGATTGCCTGTGGGGTTGGGCAGAATAGAGCCATATTTTTCTTCTTGCAGAGAGCCTATAAACGGACATGCAAGTAGGGAAAATACCACTAAATTCTTTTCCCAGCAAGGAATATTAATAATTAAAACCCTGGGGAAGGAATGCATTCCTGGGAGGAGGTCTATAAATGGCCTCTCTGAGAGTCTCTCTCCTATGTGGTTGAGATAAGGACTGGTCTCCTACAGTACCCTCAGGCATAATAGGGTGGGGGAAAAAACCCACCCTGGTGAATTTGAGGTCAGACGGGTTTCTCTGCTCTCAAACCCTGTTTTCTGTTGTTTAAGATGTTTATCAAGACAATATCTGCACAGCTGAATATAGACCCTTCTCAGGAGTTTTTGATTTCTCCCTTTGCCTTGTGATCTTTGCTTTGCCCTTTGCCTTGTGATCTTTATTGTCCTCAGAAGCATGTGATCTTTGTTCTTCTTTTTGCCCTTTGAAGCATCTTTGTGACCTACTCCCTGTTCGTATACCCACTCCCCTTTTGAAGTCCTTAATAAAAACCTGCTAGTTTTGCTGTTCAGGTGGGCATCATGGTCCTACCGATATGTGATGTCACCCCTGGAGGCCCAGTAGTAAAATTCCTCTCTTTGTACTCTTTATTTCTCAGCTGGCCAACACTTAGCTAAAATAGAAAGAACCTACGTTGAAATACTGGGGGTGGGTTCCCCTGATACTTGAGACATGTAAAACCAAAGTACACGTTTTTAGACTTCAAAAGAACATAAAAGAACAAACAGAAAGACATATACTAAGATTTTGGATGATCTGATCAGAAAAAACTGACCTCACTGCCTGAGGCTGAGCATCTTTTCATACATTTGAAAATCATTTATATTTCCCTTTTCGAAAGCAGTCCCTCCATAACCATTATTTTTGCAATAGTTATCTTTTTTCCCCTAGATTAAGTTCTGATGGTTCTTTATGAGAAAGATCAGCCTTGGTCTGTGACATGAGTCACAATATTTTCCCTGGTTTTTCTGAATTTTAAATTTTGTTTATGTACGTGTAATTTTTTGTAAGGGATGTGGTCTTGCTATGTCGCCCAGGATGGACTGCAACAGCTGTACACAGGCATGATCACAGCACACTGCAGCCTCAAACTCCTGGGCTCAAGTGATCTTCCTGCCCTATACAATACCAGACTTATATACGTAATTTTGGCCATGCTATTTTTCCCTTTATGTTTAGGTGAATTTACCAGCTTTATTCGTACAGTTCCTATGTTATGAATCATTCATTGAAAAGCACTTCCCAAACGTAATGCCTTTTTTCGGCCAGCAGCTGTGGTGCCTGAGAGGCACATCCAGGCAGTTTAGCTTTTGAGTCCATGTTCTTAACCATTATGCGTGGCTCCCAAGTCAGAGAGACCTGCAGTTGTTTTCACGATTAGTTTAGTGTATCTAAGAAAATATGTAACTGTCTGATGCTTATGTACCATCTAATTTAAAAGACAGGATAATCATTAGTTATGTCATTCAAAACCTCAGAGACCAGGACTCTAGATTTATAAATCCATGAATTATAGGCACCTGACTACACAACTAGATAGTTAAAACCACTACCATCTCAAAAAAACAAAAAAAAAACCAAAAAAAACCCAAAAAAAAAAACCACTACCAGGAACTGATTAGCAACTCATTTTACTTGCTGAAAAGAGGGTGTCCTTGATATCAAGGCTCATTCCAATGGAACCGTAGGATAAATATTAGCCAGACTGAACATTTCTGGGTGCCCACTGTGGGCTAGGCACTGTCCTAGCACCCAGTGTTATGAGCTGAACTGTGTCCCCGCCCCGCCCCCCCAAAATTCATATGTTGAAGTCCTAACCTTCTGTACCTCAGAATGTGACTTTATTTGGAGACAGAGTCTTCATAGAGGTAATCAAATTCAAGTAAGGTAATTAGGGTGGGCCCTAATCCAAGATGACTGAAATCCTTATAAGGGGAAATCTGGACACAAAGACAGACATGCACAGAGAAAACAATGTGAAGAGACCTGGGGAAGAGACAGAGGAAGAACGCAGGATCTACAAGCCAAGGAGAGAGGTCTAGAACAGATTCTTCCCCCACAGCCCTCAGAATGAACCAACCCTGCCAACAGCTTCATTTTGGAGACTGGCCTACAGAACTGTGAGACAGTCAGTTTCTGCTGATTAAGCCACCCAGTTTGTGGTACTTCCAAAGGCCGTAATACAGCCTTTGGAAACTAGTTCAGCAGTGATACAAAGGTGAGCAACAGATGGGGTCTGCCCTTAAGAAGTCAGTGGTCTAGTGGGGAAACAGGCAGGTCAAGAAATAATAATTATTAGTAATTTTTTATTAGCCGGATAATTTTAGTTTTTTCCTTTTCTCATTAGTGTCAATTGCTATAATATTCAAAGATCAAGTTAATTTTGGTTTCTAAACTTTTATAATATGTCGGGGGAAAAGTATTTTTCTTTAAACAGATATGGCTTGAATCTTTTCTGGAGATTTTAAACATGTATAAGTAAATTCAACTTTGAAAAAGAAACATTAAATAAGTTGTTACCTTGTATTTCATAACAAAAATACATTTTTGGATGATTTTCCCATGCCACTACTTATTTGACCCATACTCTGGTGTACTTTCTACTCTATAGAATGATCAATATATTCTGAAAGGTTAGAAGAGCTTGTATGAATGTACAGTTACTTTATTTATAACATACACAGCTTGCTAAGGCAAAAAATCATAATTGTAGTGGAGACTGATAGAAAAAGAGACTCAAGGAATTTTGTAGAACTGGTTCATTTTTAACAGGTTCATTTAAACTAATACTGAAGTATTAGTTTAAGACATCCTATTAACAAAAATTCCAGGATAAAAATTCTATACTACATTTTGGGTGAGGAGGCAGTATTTTTATGACAGCTGGGAAGCAGAGTCGGGGAACATGCTTTTGTAATGTGTGCCTAAGGTCAAAGGCTTGTCTCTGCCAACAGCTTCTGCAATTCCATCAAAAGACTATAGTATTTAAAAGATGTGTACAGTTTATTTCATAACACAACATTTTATAAATTTTAAAGAAACATTTTTGGTAAATTTTATTTTTCATTTGTATAGAAAAGAATGCATGTCACTGAAATAATAACATGGTTTAGAATGTCACAGAAAGTTATGCCACTGACATATGAGCAACTGCTGTCATCAATCAAGCACCTACTGAAGCACCTCTAGGCATTTAATCTACTATTTTTAGCTCACTTAATATTCATAATAACCCAATGATTATACCCATTCTCCAGATACAAAACTGAGACTGCCAATGTTTAGCTTAGTTTTCAAAGATTATAGAGCTAGGATGCAAGATCCCGGAAGTCACAAGCCCTCACTCTTCCTACACACCCACAGTGGGGCTGACTGCCTATGGCGGCAGAACCAGTGGCCTACCTAATATCCACCCACCCCCTCTTCATTACTAATAACCCCAGTTTTCTTTAGCAGCAACATACCTATCTAAAAATCCTTAATTTCACTAAAGTATCTTTAGTGGAGGTGACCCTTTGTAACAGGTTCTAGTCAAAGGTAGAGGTATTGGGAAGGGCATTCCTTCCCAAAAGAAAGGCAAAGCTGACTTGGCAAAAATCCTCAGCACCTACACTCTTCCAAGAATTCAGCCTGGAGAATTCAGCCACCACCTACCGACCATGAGAACCAATTCCACACTCAGGCTACAGAATTCAGAAAGAATTTAGCCCTCTGGATGTCCTGCTGCAGGAGACAAATTCAACCTCATTTATCCAAATACTCTAGTGTTTGAACAGTTTTCTACTACTTATTTAGAGTTCCCTAATTCATCAAGAAATAATTTCAGAGCCTGAAGCAGTATAGTTCTTTTGGCATAGGTCACATTTCCTTCCCAAATCTGATTTAAAAAAAAAAAAAAAAAAAAAAAACACACACACACAAAACCCTGGAGCTATGAGCATGAGCTAACCTACTGGGCTCTGTGATAAAAATGAACTCAGGGGCCAAGCACGGTGGCTCACGCCTGTAATCCCAGCAATTTGGGAGGCCAAGGCAGGCAGATCATGAGGTCAGGAGATCAAGACCACCCTGGCTAACATGGTGAAACTCCATCTCTACTAAAAACACACAACAAAATTAGTTGGGCACGGTGGCGGGCACCTGTAGTCCCAACTACTCGGGAGGCTGGGGCAGGAGAATGGCGTGAACCTGGGAGGTGGAGCTTGCAGTGAGCCAAGGTCACACCACTGCACTCCAGCCTGGGCGACAGAGCGAGACTCTGTCTCAAAAAAAAAAAAAAAAAAGAACTCAGCAAGGACACACAAAAAAATGTTAGTTAGGCGGGCAGGAGAAATGGGGTAGATGGTGACAGCGATGATAGAGTTCTCAAAAATACCTTTTTACCTTGTCTTGATGTTTTTTAACTATGAATATAGTCTCCCCAAACCATGTAACTTTTTTAAAAAAACAAATTTTTAAAATAATCACAGAAGGATTTATTAGTCTTATATCTTCTCTGTCAAGAAATCAACAAAATAGTTACCTTGCTTGAGTCTAGGGGATAATTCAAGGTGTTTTTCTGTAATCGTCTTCTCTTCAGGTGTTAATGACTGCAGGCAAAATAATAATCATGGAATTTATGTGACAAATGCAAAAAAAAACTTTTATAAAATATTCAAAATCTTAAACTATACTCTCCTTAACATATTCTTCTCTGATTTCCTTTACCAATTCACCAATTTCAGTATTCCCAAAGCATGTACTCCTTATATATTTATAAATTTGTTGTATTTTTCCAGAATCTAAAGAGATCTGACTGACCACAACGTTTCATATTAACATTCAATGTAGTATCTGCTCACACATATGACTCTGACTGCCTATGAGGTACTCATTACTACTCATACCCAAATATCTTGAGTTTGTAATAGCATTCCTCCGTAAGTACATAAACACACAAATATTATCCAGAACATCTCATTGCCAAAAGATTCTGAATATACAGGCATAACTTGTTTTATTGTGCTTCACAGATAAAGCATTTTTTACAAATTGAAAATTTCTGGCAATCCTGTGTCAACCAATTCTGTGTGCCATTTTTCCAACAGCATCTGCTCACCTATAAACTTGTGTCTCTGTGTCATATTTTGATAATTATCCCAAGATTTCAAACTTTATCATTATTACTAAATCTGCTATGATGGTCTGTGATCAGTGATCTCTGGTATTACTACTGTAACTGATTTGGGGTGCCACAGTCAAAACCAATATAAGAGAGCAAAATTAATAAATGCTGTGTGTGTTCTGACTGCTCCACCAACCAGCTGCTCCTCCATCTCTTGCCTTCTCCTTAGGCCTCCTATTCTCTGCAACACAGCAATATTAACATTAAGTCAATTAACAACCTTACAGTGGCCTCAAAGTGCTCAAACAAAGGAAGAACTGAATGTTTCACACCTTAAATCAAAAGTTGGAAATGGCCAGGCGCAGTGGCTCACACCCGTAATCCCAGCACTTTGGAAGGCCAAAGTGAGTAAATCACCTAAGGTGAGGAATTCGAGACCAGTCTGACCAACATGATGAAACCCTGTGGCTACTAAAAATACAAAAATTAGCTGGGCGTGGTGGCAGGCGCCTGTAATCCCAGCTACTCGGGAGGCTGAGGCAGGAGAATTACTTGAACCTGGGAGGCGGAGGTTGCAGTGAGCCAAGATTGCACCACCCCAAGTGACAGAGAGAGACTCCATCTCAAAAAAAAAAAAAAAAGAAAAAGAAAAGAAAAGCTGGAAATGATAAAGCTTAGGTAGGAAGGCATGGCAAAAACTAAGATAAGCTAAAATTTAGACCTCTTGCACCAAATTGTTAAGCCAGTTGTGAATGCTAAGGAAAGTTCTTGAACGAAACTGACAGTGCTACTCCAGTGAATACACAAATAATAAGAAAGTAAAACAGCACTATTGCTAATACAGAGTTTTAGCAATCTGGATAGAAAATTGAACCGCTATAACATCCCTTTAAGCCAGAGCAGAATTCAGAGCAAGGTGCTAACTCTCTTCAATTCTATGAAGGCTGAGAGGTGAAGCTGGAGAAGAAAAGTCTGGAACTAGCAGAGGGTGGTTCATGAACAAATCATCTCCATAACATAAAAGTACAAGGTAATGCAGCAAGTGATCTAGAAGATCTAGTTAACATCACTGACAAAGGTAGCTACACTAAATAACAGATTTTCAATAGAGATGGAAGAGCCTTATATTAGAAGATGATGCCATTTAAGACTTTCGTAGCTAGAGAGAAGTCAATGCTTGGCAATAAAGCTTCAAAGAACAGACTGATACTCATATTAGGGGCTAACGCAGCTGGTAACATTAAGTTGAAGCCAATGCTCATGTATCATTCTGAAAATCCTAGCGCCCATATGATAAATCTGCTCTGCCTATGCTCTATAAATGTGTAACAACAAAGCCTGGATGACAGCACATCTCTTTACAGCATTCTTTACTGTAATACTTTAAGTCCACTGTTGAGACCTGCTCAGAAAAATAAAGATTTCTTTCAAACTATTACTGCTGATTGACAATGCACCTGGTCACCCAAGAGCTCTGATTGAGAAGCACAAGGAGATTAACGTTATTTTCATGCCTGCTAACACCACTTCCATTCTGCAACCTATGGATCAAGGGGTGATTCTGACTTTCAAGTCTTATTATTTCAGATATACATGTCACATGGCTGTAGCTGCCATAGATAGTGACTCCTCTCATGGATCTGGGCAAAGTACATTGAAAACTTTCAGGAAAATATTCACCATTCCATGTGCCATTAAGAACATTCATGATTAATGACAGAAGGTCAAAATATCAGCATTAACAGGAGTTTGGAAGAAGTTGATTCCAACCCTTATGTATGACTGAGGAGTTCAAGACTTCAGCAGAAAAACTGATGTGATAGAAACAGCAAGAGAACTAGAATTAGAAAACCTGAACATATGACTGAATTGCTGTAATCTTCTAAGAGTTGAATGGATGAAGAGTTACTTCTTACGGATGAACAAATAAAGTAGTTTCTGGAGATAAAATCTACTCCTGGTGAAAATGCTGTGAACATTGTTGAAGTGATAACAAGGAATTTAGAATATCCTATAAACTTAGTTGATAAAGCAGTGTCAGGCTTTGGAAGGATCGAGTCCAATTTTGAAAGAGGTTCTATTACAGGTCAAATATTATCAGCATCACATGCTACTCAGTAATCTTTCATGAAAGGAATAGTAAATAGATGTGGTAAACTTCACTTTTACCTATTTGAGGACACTGCCACAGCCACCCCAACCTTCAACCACCAACCTGATCAGTCAGCAGCCATCAGCATCAAAGCAAGACTCTCTCCCAGCAAAAAGATTACACCTTGGTGAAGGCTCCTATGATTGTTAGCATTTTTTTTTAGCAATAAAATATTGTTAAATTAAGATATATACATTGCTTTTTTAGACATAATACTATTGCACACTTAACAGACTACAGTATAATATAACTTTTATATATACCAGGAAATCAAAGAATTCATGTGATCACTTTATTGCGATATTCACTTTATTGTGTTGGTCCTGAACTAAACCTGCTATATCTCCAGAGTATGCCTCCAGAGTAAACATGCATTTCTTGTGAAGAGTGGTATGCTAAATGGTTTCATCTTCTGAGAACATTCTTAGTAAATATCCTTCATTTACAAACAAAGAAATAGAAAGGTTCTGCATTGATTAAACAGGTAAAGGTGTGAGCTGGGCATGGGGGCTCACACCTGTAATCCCAACTCTCTGGGAGGCGGAGGCAGGAGGATGACTTGCAGCCAGGGGTTAGAGACCAGCCTAGGCAACACAGCAAGACCCTGTCTCTACAGAAAGTTTTTAAAAAATTAGCCAGGCGGCCAGGCACACTGGCTCACACCTGTAATCCCGGAACTCTGGAGGCCAAGGCAGGTGGATTACCTGAGGTCAGGAGTTCCAAACCAGCCTGGCCAACATGGTGAAACCCGGTCTCTACTAAAACTACAAAAATGAGCCGAGTATGGTGGCACGCACCTGTAATCCCAGCTACTCGAGAGGCTGAGGCAAGAGAATTGCTTGAACTTGGGAGGCGGAGGTTGCTGTGAGCCAACATAGCCCCACCGCACTCCAGCCTGGGTGACAAAGTGAGACTCTGTCTCAAAAAAAAAAAAAAAAAAAATTAGCCAGGCATGGTCCCAGCTATTTGACAGGCTGAGGCAAGATAGCCTGAGCCCAGGAGTTCAAGGGTTCAAGAATGCCCTGAGCTGATTGCGCCAGCCTGGGCAACAAAGTGAGACTTTGTCTCCAAAAAACAAAAAAAAAGGTGAATACTAACTTGCCACGATTATTAAAGGAATGAAAGGGAAGAAAAAGAGTATACCAATTACAGTGTCCTGAAAGAATAAGAAAGGGAATTACAATGAAATGTAATTACAATGTTCTGAACACTCAGGATTTCCTCTTTGGCATTCAGGGAAAACAATTCTACAGATACTTTACCGGAGTCCCAGAAGCGTCCTGAAACCCTTCTCCACACCTGAGCCATGCTTCAGAGAGAGAGGCAGCTGCCCCTGCTGTCCTGAGACCTGCTCTTCTGACCTGCAGTGGTCTTTCTCCTGGAAAGGATGGGCATTCTATATCCCAACTCCTTTTTCTCTGTGGAGATGATTATTAACAGAAAAATCAAAACAAAAAACACTATCAACTTCATTAAATAGACATTAAGTTAACAATTTACAATCTGAAAACCCAGAAGTGTCATTAGTAAAGGCATAGTTTTTGAATGTCTCTAAATCTTCACATAAACAGCAACTGGACAGCAAAGCCAAAAACATAGAAACACAATTAATCAGCAAACTCCAAAACACAAGTGGGTAAAGACAAACCACCAACCCTCCAAAGTCCGGCATGGTATCAGTGTCTGAGAGGAAAGAAGCCAAGGAAAGTAAGAGAGCCAAGGAGGCCCTGAGAACCTAGACATCAGTGCTCACCAGGAAGCAGAGCAGGTGACAGATCTGAGAACAGCACCTGAAACTAGGTGAGAGCAGGGGCTCTACGGTAAGAAGATGTGAAGAGATGGGAGCAGCCTGGGCCACCCAAAACTGGTCACCCTGGACTCCCTTCTGGGCCCCTCACTGAGAAAGTGCTGGGAGTGGAATCTACTCAGCACCACAGGGGTGGCAGAGACACAGAAAATGTCCAGATGAGCAGAGTCAGGGAGAATCTACAAGACCAAATACACAAGTGGCCGTATTTTTACAAGCCATATGAAAACAACACAAGGTATAAAAGCTATGCTGAGCCGGGTGCCATGGATCACACCTGTAATCCCAACACTTTGGGAGGCCAAGGCAGGAGGATTCCATGAGCCCAGGGGTTCAAGACCAGCCTGGGCAACACAGCAAGACCCCATTTCTAAAAAAAAAACCAAAAAACAAACTTTTTAGTGAGCTGGGCATAGTGGCACACGACTGTAGTTCCAGCTACTCAGGAGGCTGAACCAGGAGGATCACTTGAGCCCAGGAGTTTGAGGCTGCAGTGAGCTATGACTGCACCACTGCACTTCAACTCGGGCAACCCAGTGAGAGTCCACATCCTTAAAAAAAGAAAAGAAAAGAAAAGCTATCCTGAATCCTGCCTCCTATCATTTCAGAAGAAAGAGACATAAAAATAAGCAACAGGAAGGTATAAAAGCTAAATCCTATAAAATTATTATTAGGGAAAAACCAAGGAGAATAACATCCCAACATATCAAAAAAAAAAAAAAAAAAAGTGCATCAAAGACACACAAAACAGATAAAATGGTAAACTACAATTTTAAAACAAGATAAAACATTCAGAATAAAAACTCAGAAATGAGGTGACAAAACTTAAGAAGTAGAATAAAATTTAAAAAGGACTACACCAGAAGGAATCCAAGAACAAATCGGTATTACAGATATCTTGTAAAAGTAGTAAAAATTTAAACATAACACTATCTTACAAACTAGCCGTTTTACTCCTATTTACGCAAAGAAATAAAACTATGTCTACACAGATTTTTACATATATTTTTAAAAAGCATTTTTATTTGTAATAGCCAAAACCTAAAAACCACCCAAAGTCCACTGCAGTAGCTTTAAAATATGACAACAAATTCTTTAACATTGCTCCCCTCAAAACCAGCCTTTGAAAGAAAAAAACTAATTCTTTACTCTTTGAGTGAGGGCTGGATGTTGTGACTTATTTCTAGCAAATAATATCATGAGGAAAGTGACAATGTGCAACTTCTGAGAGCAGGTCATAATAGGAATTGAGGCTTCCAGCAGGCGCAGTGGCTCATGCCTGTAATTCCAACACTTTGGGAGACCAGGGCGGCCAGATCACTTGAGGCCTGGAGTGAGAGGCCAGACTGGTCAACAGGCCAAAATCTCATCTCTACTAAAAATACAAAAATCAGCTGGGTGTGGTGGTGCACACCTGTAATCTCAGCTACTCGGGAGGCTGAGGCACGAGAATCACTTGAACTCGGGAGACAGAAGTTGCAGTGAGTCGAGATCACGCCACTGCACTCCAGCCTGGACAACACAGCAAGGCTCTGTCTCAAAAACAAACAACAAACAAACAAACAAAAAAAACCAAAAAGGCATTGCAACTTTCTCTTTGTTCATGCTGCTCTTGGATCACTTGTTTTAGTGGTTACCAGATTCCATAAGAACATGGTTGGGCATGGTGGCTCATGCCTGTAATCCTAGCACTTTGGGAGGCTGAGGCAGGCAGATCACTTGAGGTCAGGAGTTTGAAACCAGCTTGGCCAACATGGTAAAACCCCATCTCTACTACAAATACAAAAATTAGCTGGGGGTGGTGGTAGGAGCCTATAATCCCAGCTACTCGGGAGGCGGAGCCAGGAGAATCGCTTGAACCCGGGAGGCAAAAATTACAGTGAGCCAAGACAGCACCACTGCACTCCAATCTGGGCAGCACAGTGAGACACCGTGTCAAAAAAAAAAAAAAAAGACTCAAGCATCCCTGCAAAGAGGATCCTTAGTCAGATGATCAGAGGCTGAAGCCTCTGGCCCACAGTCATAGAAGTTAACTATCTTTGAATTGGGTATGTCAGCGAAGCCTTCAAATGACTTCAAAGCATCCAGCATCTTGACAGCAATCTCATGAAAAACCCTACGCCAGTCACCCAAATAAGCCACTCCCAAATCCCTGGCCAGAAAACTGTTAGATAATAAATGCATATTATTTCATGCCACTAAGTTTTTGGATAATCTGTTATACTGCAATAGATAGCTAATATACCCATCAACAAATGGATGGATTTTAAAACTTGTGATATATCCATACAATACAATCGTAGTGAGCAATAAAAAAGGAATAACGGCTGGGCACGGTGGCTCACGCCATAATCCCAGTACTTTGGGAGGCCGAGGTGAGTGGACTGCCTGAGGTCAGGAGTTCAAGACCAACCCTGTCTTTACTAAAAATACAAAAAAAAAAAAAAAAAAAAATTAGCTGGGCGTGGTGGCAGGCACCTGTAATCCCAGCTACTGAGGCAGGAGAACCGCTTGAACCCAGGAGGCAGAGGTTGTAGTGAGCCAAGATCATGCCACTGCACTCCAGCCTGGGCAATAAGAGTGAAACTCCGTCTCGAAAAAAAAAAAATAGAATGAAGTACTGAAACATGCAATAACATAATTGGATTTCAAAATAACACTAAACAAAAGAAACTAGACCATAAAAATCCATTTACATACAATTCTAGAAAACGCAAACAAATTAATAATAATAGAAAGCAGGTTCACGATAGGCTAGGAATGCAAGGAAAAGAGAGAAATAGGAATTACAAAGTGGCAAAGAAAAACTTTGGGACATGACTGTTATATTCGCTAACCCATTTGTAGTGATAGTTTCATGGAGATGTGTGGATCTCAAAAGTTATCAAACTGTATGCTGTAACTATAAAGTTTATATCAATTATTTACTTAATAATGCTGTTAAAAAATCAGTATAATTCAACAAAGAGAGAAACAGGTGAAAAACGATTTTTTTTGTAAATTTTATTCCTCATGCAAACTTGTCTAAGAAAAAAAAAAAAGGAAATTTAAAGGTTCCACAATCCAGCTCCAGTGAAGAAAGAGAAAAAATATTCAAGAGAAATAGTATGATTAAGTCTCTTTTGGGATCCAACATAAAGGTAACAGGAATTCCTGAAGAAGCAAATCAAAGGAATGGGACAGCCAGTAAAAACCACAATTCCAGAAAACTTTACTGAATTTTAAAAAAGAACATAAGCCAAGGAGTTTGTATTTGCTAGGCTGGAAATTGTAGTGATAACACTAATATATTCTCTAGGCTTTTTTGCCCATTTTTCCTTTTTTAAAACAAATGTCTGCAACAGACATATCTTCATTTCATAATATTTTTAATTTGCATTTTAAGAAAAATTTTAGGTTTGTGTTGGGAATTAAATTGAGGTTAACAATTATAACTTGATCACCTAATCAGAAATACATCTCCACAACAATATCATTGTAGTTTAAGCAATAAGAATAAATTAAAATTAAAATACACCATTAAAACTTCCTTAACTAGTGCTATGGTCTGAACCCTGCTGTCTCCTAAAATTCATATGTTGACATCCTAATCCCCAATGCAATGCTATTAAGAGATGAGGCCTGGCCAGGAACAATGGCTCATGCCTGTAATCACAACACTTTGGGAGAGAGAGGCGGGCGGATCACGAGGTCCAGAGATCGAGACCATCCTGGCTAACATGGTGAAACCCCGTCTCCACTAAAAATACAAAAATTAGCTGGGTGTGGTGGCATGCACCTGTAGTCCTAGCTACTCAGGAGGGTGAGGCAGGAGAATTGCTTGAACCCGGGAGGCAGAGGTTGCAATGAGCCGAGATCCTGCCACTGCACTCCAGCAGCCTGGCGACAGAGCAAGATCTGTCTCAAAAAAAAAAAAAAAAAAGAGAGAGAGATGAGGCCTTTGGAGGTGACTAGAACAGGAACCAGAGCCCCCACAAATAGGATTACCGTCCTTATGAAAAATTAGTCAGCAGCCTAAGCAACATCGTGAGACCCCATATCTACAGATTTTTTTTTTTTTTTTTTTTTTTTTAGAATTAGTGAGGCATGGTGGTACATGCCTGCAGTTCCAGCTACTTGGGAGGCTGTGGTAGGAGGATTGCTTGAGCCCAGGAAGTCAAGGCTGCAGTGAGCCATGACTGCACCACCGCATTCCAGCCTGGGTGACAGAGCAAGATCCTGTCTTTGAAATAAATAAATAAATAGCTGGATGTGGTGGCGTGTGCCTATAGTCCCAGCTATTCAAGAGGCTGGGGTGGGAGGATCACTTGAGCCTGGGAGGTCAAGGCTGCATCACTGATTACGCCACTGCATTCCAGCCTCGGTGGCAGAGTGAGATCCTATCTCCAAAAACAAAAAGCAAAAAACTACAATGATATGCCACTTCACACTCATCAGAACAGCTACTATTTAAAAAAAGAAAAAAAAGCAAAGAAAAGAAAGAAAACAATAAGCATTGCCAAGGATGTGTAGCAATTTTAACTTTTAAGTAAAATGTTGCAGTTGTTAAAAATTATTTGGTAGAGCCTCAAAAGTTAAATGCAGCTGAGCAAGGTGGCTCATGCCTGTAAT